TTATTTCCTCCACTTATGATGCGAGTTGAAAGCATGGCCTTTTACCGGGGTTTTTAAATCATGATTTAAAGAAAATTCAACTTTAAATAGTGACATTCGTCAAAATATAAATATTTACATGTTTAAGCAAGCATTCGTGTGGACTTCTTGGTGATCAGCAATGTCTTTGATGGTACGTCACCTGCGCTGGTCGTTTACCGATCATACATGTGCATGGCTGCCTTTGTTTCGCTCGGCGGTGACGATGTTGCCGCTACAATCACGGCATGAACTTGGTTTTAACTTTAGATCTTATGTTTTAACAAATGGTTTTATCGATAACGATTTTATATTTTGACGTCACCCTGGCAGTAAAAATATGAGTACAGTAATACACTTTTCTAGGCCACATGTTCATTTTTAATCGTGTTGAAAAATCGGTGATGTTATCACCTCACGGTGACCTGCTACGATAACAAGGCGGATTTTTCACAGTTTTCACACCTTAAAACAATGAACCAATTACTCTGAGCACGATGAATCATCTTCGGAAGACAATGAGTGATGGCCTGTTTTGTAAACAGGGCGCCAATTTCAGATAACAGGGCGCGGCGCCCTGTTAAAACCCCTTGTGGAGAACCCTGGAAATGAAAGTGCAAAAAAGTGGCGCCTAATTGAAGACAAATATGGTATTTGTCCAGGACCCTGGTAGGTCATCATCTTGTATGGTATAGTGAGGTTCAATACATGGCACCCTATGAAGGCGTGGACGAGACTCTGCTACCATCTTTTTTTAGATGCAAGCGATTTAATATAAACAGTAAGGATACCACGCATTTGCTATGCTTTCAGAGTTCACATATTGACGAGGACCGTTACAAATAGCAATGTTACAATGCTTGCTTGTACACTGAAATGCCGAGTTTGAATTTTCGAAAAAATAACTTTTAGGCAAAAATCTGTTTCTTGTCCAGAGTTTTTTTTCCCAACTTCCAAGCAAGACTTTTTGAATTGATGTGTTTGTGCTGACCCAAAAGCGATCTAATTTTGTTTGGCCTATGTTAAAGCGCAGTGGTTGCCACACAGCACGTGTTTGAATTTCGTGGAAATAAACAATGTATTTTACGTGCGTTGTATATGACGCTATGAGTCCAATATCGAACAGGACGCGGCGTGACGCATTTTAATAATTATGATCAAAATACACTTACCTAAATTACTTGTAATATGATTACTAGAATGGGGTGGTATATGATGTAGAGGAATGCTTGAAGAATCTTGCGTTGCTAACGACGACAATTGTTGCGTTAATCCTAACATCCCACCTTCTTTCACTTCTAATATAACCCATATAACCTCTGGCAAAAAATAAACATATTCAACATTAGATTCAAAAAGAGGCATTTTTCATATTTTTGACTTTACACATTTACTCAAAAGTATGTTAAAGCGGGAGTGTCATCACCTGCGCATGCATCAGATGGCCATAGCGTGTCATTGTTTACAAACAAACGTCTACCCATAAGCATTTGCGTTTTAGTGTGTTGTTATCGTCGCTTTGGACTCAAGTCCCGCACATGCGCAGGTGACGACCCTCTCGCTTTAAGTTTGTGGTGCAAAATGAGTAAACACATGGTTTAATACGTCATGTGACAAAGCATACATTTATAATAGCTGGAAAATAAAGATTGGGACAACCAATTTTATAGTTTTCAGCTGTTTGCATACGTGTAGCATAAACCAATTTCTTGGCTGTCTAGGTGTTGTTAGCATACGTGTAACAAGAACCCATTTTTCAGCTGTCTAGGTGCTGTTTGTATGTGTATCCGGGGGTAGCATGCACACATTTCTCAACTGTCAAGAACTTTTTGCAAAAAATGGCATAGTTGTATTTCAAATTAATACAAGGGTTGGCAGATCCATCTCAATAACAGAAAACTCAGATAAGTAATACATGTATCATAGATACATGGTTATAATCTAGTTCATGTTCCCAGGGTCTTGAACATGGAAAATTGCCAAAAAATACGGGTGGGCGTTTGCCAGGAGATCCCCGGCAAAAAAATGAAAATTCGCGAACATTGACAAAACACAGATCGAACTGTGGCAGAGAATAGAACGGCAAATGAAAACATGCAACGGAAATAAATGAACAATATGCAACATTAGAAGTAAAACAAAAATAATGTATTGCTTACAATGTGACAAATAAACCATAAATAATAAAAATCGACAGTGAGAAATCATTTGAATTAGGATTTTCCCGCCGACAAACACGCCCAATACACATGAACTCAAACTAAATTAAAATGTCAAGGGTTAAACTGCGTAAAATGATTTCCGGTCTCAACAAATTACGAATCAACTGTCCTACAAGATCAATAATAATTTACAAATTTACACAGTAAAAATTATAAAAATTCATAGCTGTTTGAAAAATCTTTATTTATACGTTCATTGCCATCTTCGTCAAACTCAAAACCCTCAAAGTCCAAGTCGACGTCACTGTAGCCGTCGAACAAAATCCCTACAACTTCTTCCTGAAGTTCATTGATATCGTCCCACACAATTTGGACTTAGCACTTTTAATCTACGAATTATGCAAGTCTGCCAGCTTGGCACTTTTCATTCATGTCTAATCACAATAAAGAGACAAGAAAAATGGGGTCGCTCTGCTGCGATGGCACACGATGCTTTTGTTTACAGTCTGGCAATCATCTTTGACCTTTATGCATCTGCTTTACTGATTGGCTAAGAATGACATCACTACTAGTATTTCATCATAATGGTCAAATCGTGACATTGCTTTCTTATCAGACTCGACGCTTATCTATCATGGTGAAAGTTATCATTCAGCAAATCCCAGTGGTTGGAATGTCTCACTGTATGGATATCGCGGTGCACTTGAAATAGGAAGTTTTTTTTATCCAACGACAGAAGAATAGTTTTCATGACAGAAATGCAATAGCGGTGATGAAAGATGGTAAAAAAGTTGGCAGTCTTCGGCGTGACATTGCAAAATTGCTGGCCCCAGTTATGGATTCGCAAGCTGCTACAAAATATATTATAAAGCAAAAATAACGTGATTTCAACCACTCTCGCAGATACAGGTTGCTACAATATTGCAACATTGGTTTCATTGTCGATGACGCTAAAGCCGGACGAGTGCGACACTTGCTTAGCAGCTCTCCTTATACGATTTGCTCGAATCGTTTCTAAGGAAGCACAAACCAAATGACATATTTCAAAAAGAGAACTACCGTTTCTGCTTTAATATTTATTTTTATAGACTTGCTGACTGTTATGATTTTGAAAAAAATCAGAGGTGAACGCGCTGCCCTTAAGGCAGAAAGCTGTCACAGCTATTTTGCATTCACCCATTGTTTTACGCAATTAACAATTATATTTAAAGAATTTTTATAAGCATCGCGACAGACTTCAGGAAAGTCAACTGTTAATACAACCACAGTCAAGGAATAGAAAATAGATTTTTGTGTAGAAAAAGACCCCCTGGGCGTGTGCCCGGATATTACCTCAACTTCTTTATTGTGTCTAAAGTGGGGGGTGGGCGTTTGCCCAGGCATGGGCTCTTACCCAGATAAGTATGGTATATTTAAACAATTGTACTGTATTGTACAAAGGATTCATGTTACCACATCACTACCCTTATTTTATAAATTCCAACCCTTTCAACACCAGACTTTCCCAACCAAATTTTTCTGCACTTTTTCTTATATACTTCAATATTTCAGAAATGAACCCTAATTTTAAAGCCAACAGACAAAATCGGTGTCAATTTTCAGCTTTTTACTTTTATTCCATCTGCCCATATAGTACCTAGAAGAGCTAATTGTTACTCTCCAATACCATATTAGTTCAAAGTTCAAAACCCATAGGCCCAGTAAACGAAAGTCCTGCAAAATTGGATATGAGCACTCTATGTAGGATTATAATTACCCCCAAAATATTGTCCTGTCCTTGAGACCATTCGCCACTGTCCCTGAAAAAATCCACATGATGGTGGACTGATCATTTCCACACTAACGTCTGTTATTTGACCTGGAAATAAGGATTGTACAGGAACTGTGTCTGAAGCACCAAGTTGATGTCCTTGTGTAAATTTTAAAAGAACGCCGCCTGGCCATGTTTCATCACCTGAAAAAAGAAAAAAAAAGATATGTAAAGGCTGTGCAAGTCTTGGATAACACTTACAATACTGTAAAAAGCATGATTTCTAAGATCTGAGAATAATAGAATACTTTCAAAAGCTTGTTATCTATGATCTTGGATAACACTTACTAAACTATAAAAAGCTTGACAATTAAATTATCCATGAATTTCACAAATCAGGGAAAAGCACAAAATGTCAAAATAGTACAGCAATATGTATAAAAAATCTGGCAAAATGCAACAATACAGATTAATGTGGGGCTTACATGACAGCATTTTATCAGAGCCCTATGGCTTGAGCCAGCAAAAATGGTTGGTTATACGCATTCAGCTCAAGCCAAGTTTGGCTCCAATAAACCCTCAGGATTGAGCTCTGATAGGATTGGGGCCTGACATGGATTCAATCGTGTAAACACAATCAGGGCCCAACGTTGAGCCAAAATCACGCCCTCAATCATCTTCTTCAAGTAATCTCTCGTTTTAATTATGGCGGAGACAACATAGTTCGTAATTTTTAGCTTGACAAAGAGGTACATACCCTAATATCTATTTGGCAGAGTGAAAAATACAGTGATAGATTCACAGCTCAAGAAGAAACAGAAAAAAGAAACAGAAAAAGTATGAAATTATGGGACAAAAAATTGATCCAATGGAAAAAAGATCAAAAAAAAAAACTTTTCAAAGACACCAAAGATAAAAATCATGGCAATGCGACGTGTTCCTACAAGGTTTAGGTTGACACAATTGTTACACATATCACAACAGTTGAACAATGACAGGATGGTAAATTTGCATGACAATAACTTCTGTGAATAGGCTGTCAACACATTTAATGAATTTTAGCTGCCTTGTATCCTGCTGTTTATTCAAGATACCTATATCATAACTCCAGTGCATTGTCTCAGACTTTTTCTTTTTTTCTCAACAAGATAATAATGTGACATACTATTATTCCATGAAAAACAACAACAAAACAACCTGGACGCCAAAATCGTTTTCAGCCATTTTGTTTTCTTTTGGCCTGACCATATAAACGCATTGGAAATAATTTCCTGTTAATCAGTGGGAGGAGCAGTACTTTGGCTCTTGAAGAATGCTGTCGTGTAAACGTAGCAAATATATATATTGAAGGAATAGGAAAAAACACCACAACTGTCAAGTGATAGTTGATAGACTTTGAGTTTGTT